TACCGGGGCTCAAACTCTGGACCTTGTGCTTTCAAGGCTGGTGGTGTAACTCTAGTTTTTTTTTCTGACTGATCACAGTTTGTCTATTTGACACATTTTTAGTAAGGCTACAGATTGTATTCAGGCTGTTTCCATAAAGACTGTGGGACCTGTGACACTAATCAAATTGCCTAAAAACGTGTCAAACATTCTGATGCTTAACTTGATTATTCTGAGTCTTCGTAGGACCTGACAATTCTAACTGAGAATAGGAACAAGAGTAGCTCACATAACTTTTGTCAGAAACTGCCCTTAACTCACAGATAAGTACTTTGCATTTATGAAGTCATACTTTTCCTCCATCATTTTCAAACAAATCACTGAGAGTGGCAGAAATTTTGCAGCTTCCTCATGAACAGGAAATATTTATTGATGTGAGCCAGGTAGAATGTAGTAAGTAAGCATGAATTCTCATGAAAAATTTGGAGCAAATATTGCACTTACACTGTAAACACAGAAACAAGATGTATTAGTATCAATTTTCCAGGGTAGCAGAACCAAGAGTGCATATGCATGTGTGTGAATGTATGTATGTACACTTATGTGTGCATATATAGGCATATATATGTATATATCTACATAAATATATGACAAGAAACTGACATTTCTAGGATCAGCAATGAGCAAGCTAAAAACACAGAAGACCCCAATAATACTGTTTCTGTACAAGTTTGAGTCTAAAGATAGATAGATGAATATTGATATGCCATCATGAAGATAGGTAGAGAGAATGAACTGGCTCTTGTACATACACACCTTTGCTTTTATTTTCGTTCCTGTTGTACTTGGTCACTGTTGTTCTGTTGAGGCCTCTGATGAATTGGATTGGGTCAGCCCAAAGCATAGTTGGCTTTACTCAGTCTTATGATTCAAATGTTAATCTCATCCAGAAGCAATCTCACAAATAAACTCAAAAGAATGCTCAACCAACTGCACTGCACTTTATGGCTCTGTCAAGTTGACGTATAAGCGTTAAATAAGTCACACGTGTAAATATCGAATAGTTTCTCTGGTGTGAAAAACTATAATTGTACATAATATCCTAATGGTAGAATTAACAGTGTGAGATAAGAAGAAAAGGGCTAAAGGTGTAGGGGAAGTGGGAAGGGTAGGGGAAACGAAATAATTGAAAAAATATGAGAAAATGAAAAAATGGAAATAAAGTATTTGTAAATAGGGAAGGGAGGGGTAAAGGGAGAACAAGGGTAAGGGGAAAAATGAGAACCAATACATGTCATGTAAAGAAAGGTACGAGACCCCAATGATGAATGTAACTGTACTGTATATCTAAAATGTACCCATAGACTCAATGAGAAAAAAAAAGCTTAGCCAGCACAAATCTGCTTAGCAGATAGTTGAAAGATTTGTGTCACCAACTATTACTATTTCAAAGATCATATGGATATCAATATAATTCTCTATCACAATTATCTTCACTTAGTGATGGGTAATTATCTTCTTCTAACATTCCAATTCTTATAATTAGAAAACTCAGCAAAAAAGAACAATCTGGTCAGCTTTTTGTTCCATTACAGTCTAGCCACTTCTTCCATTATTATTCCACAAAGGAATCTCTGTGACCTCCAGATTGAGAATTCCCCTCATAAAACTCAAGCAGAGTCTCACTTGGGAGTGCTATATCTGTGAGGTCCTTTGTAGAATTAGTAATTAAAACTTAAGACTTGTGTGCAAGTAGGATCTTTTAAGTTCCTAAAAGAGATTCCCTAGTCAAGGCTGTGTCAAACAGGCACAGGTCTCCGTTGGCAGCACTGGTAACCTGCTCTCTTTGAATAGAGCCATGGGGATTATACTTAAGTTTTAAAGTCAAAAGATTAGGCTTCAAATAATAACTCTTTCAATTTTCAGCTTTCTCGTGTAACCCAACCTCTTTGAACTGCATTTTCCTCTTTTAATAGTACTCTGGCAGGGTTATTGCGCGATTAAATGAGACTGTGCTTGTGAAATGCCAAGTTCTTAGATCTTAATTCTCAGATAGAACCAGGTTGAATGGTGATGTAATATGATGCCTCTGTAGAACAGTATTGCACGGAGTAAGGTAAGAACGTGTACACGTTTTCCTTCTCTAGCTTTTCCTGGTCCCATCAGAATTATTCTCTCTAATAATTATCCTACCTTAATTTTCTAATTTAATTTTTCTAGAAGACAGAGGGGTGGCACACCTGCGTGATGGTATGAGCTTAAAAAAAAATGTTACGGGAAGGGAAAAATGTTTTTGAACGAGTTTATAGTCAATGCTTGAAATATTTTTGTTTATCTTCTCATTTATAATAAATGATTTAAAAATACAGAATCCCAGACCCCACTCCAGATTCCTGAGTGAGAGTCTGTGTTTTAATAAACTCCTTCAGGTTACTGCCATTCTTATTATAGTGTGAGAAACACTACTCCAGAATATCTTTCTGATAATGAAGGCAATAACATAAAAGTTTTCTTATCTTAATTCAGTGGGGCATTGGTCACTTTTAATATTTATCATTAGAAATTCAATAAAAAACATGAGATTCAGTCTTCTGAGGTAGTCATAATTACAAAGTAAATTTAAAGGGAAAACTGAGCTAATGACATATGTCAGATCAGATAACTTCTTAGGCAATACTAGTGACATTTCCTCTTTCTTATCTAGCTTAATTTTACCTTATTTTTAACTTTCCTCAGTGTTCCTGCTTTGTGCTATTTTCAAAATGATGCCCATATCAGATTGTAACAGATATAGTTATGATTTAGTTTAATTTATGTCTATGATTACTTTGAGGATATAATTATTTTTAATATAACACCATATCAGTAAGCAGAACTGAAAATATTAAAAAAATAGAAATTTATTTGCATACTTAGAAAGATGGTGATCCTTACTTCCTATTTGAAATAACTTTATTTTCTGCCTCAAATAGAAGTGTTCACTGAGCTAAATTTTACTTTGATGGTCAAGTACAAAGATTATTCCAGAAAATTTATTTTGTTTTATTTAAACCTATACTCTTGTTTATGTTTCCAGACTTAATTTAACTAAAACCATTTGCCTGAGTGTTAATCAGAGGTTAAATGACTCTCACTAGATGAATCTAATTAGTTTACTTTACTGGACAGTGGTTTCAGGAGGTTACAGCTAGTTTTTTTTTTTTTTCCGAGAAATCTTTTTAATTAAAAAGTAGTAAATCATAAATTAAAAATAATAGCCAGGAAATTTGATACCTTCATGGTTTTAAAAATAAAGATGACTAAAATGCTTTGAATAAAATATTACATAGCTTCTAATATTAGTATTTATTCAGAATCTTGTTTCCTAAAGTCTTTTAGCAATAATTTATTTTATTGTGTAGATTACTTTAAATAACTTAAATAACAAAATAGGAACATAAAAGGTGTCATAGTTTTCTTGTTGCTGAGACAAAGTAACAACACATAGAGTTAAAGGAGAAAAGGCTTATTTTGCTCCACAGTTTGAAAACGTTTCAGTCCATTATAAGCTGGCTCCAAGGCAGAGTCATGTGGCAGAGGGACGTTACAGAAGAGAAACAGTTTATGGCAGGCAGAAGGCAGCAAAAGCAGCAAGCAGCAAGTGAGAAGCAAGGACCTTTCTTCTGCCCCTTATATTCTACCCAGGCTATACATCCTTAAGGTGGGTAGCACTCACATCCAGGGTGGGCCTTCCCATTACTACACCCAGAACTATGCCAAACCAATTGATGGGCTAATTTATAATCACACATCTATGATGCCAGCAGCACACACTATAAACTCTGAAAAGTCGCACCTATGACCTCATGTGGCTTTGGAGGAACATCCAGACACAATGCACAACAAAAGGACATAACAGGTTGTCAACTTGTGTAATTTTTAGTTGCTCATTTTATATTGATAGTCTTTGAAAGTTTAGCAAAATATAAGTTTTTTTTTTATTTTTCACAGGCAAACATACTCATATCAAAACATGCCCTATTTCATTCCATACCAGACTCTAAGGGAAGCTTGCCCATTTGAGAAATTCATAGAAAGTTTTAAGCATGGCTTGGTTATTGTATGTATCATATTATTTCATTATACCTAAAGGATGTTGAGTTATCAGAATTATCTATATTAGAGTACAGGTTAGTGGAAAGCCAAAGCACAATAGATTCAATCAAATAAAACTCTTAAGTTTTCCTTTCAAGGAAATAACTTTATGTATATATCCACAGTAGAACAAAGTTGCAAGTTTCAAATTATACTTAAATCTGATAATGACTTTCCTAGTTACTGTACATCCTGTCTTTTTTCCCTAGGCAGTAACATATATAAATATAGAAAGAGAAAAAAATGTAGCATGTCTTGTGACTTTCAAGTTTTTCTGTACATTTTAAAATTACATGATTTTCCTTACTTTTAATGTTGTCATTATTGTATAATTAATTCAAACAACACCTATAAGCACAAAATGAATCTTAGCAATTTAAATAAAAGTGCTCAAGCTATCCTTTGTAGTTATCTTTGTAGTTATCTAAAATGCTTAAGCCATCATATTTCAGCAATCCATGCATATCAATATTTATAGTAGTGCAATCTGTAATAGCTAAATCCTGGAAGCAGCCTGCATATATTCATCAACCTACAATTAAATAAAGAAAATGAGGTATCTATATTTAATGGAACACCCCTCAGACATAAAAGTAACAATTTTTACACATCTGTAGGAAAATGGATGCACTTGAAAAATATAATGTTGAGTGAAATAAACTAGACACACAAGCTTTAATAATTTATGGTATCTCACACACAAAAGCTTAAATACTTTATAGTATCTCACATTTTCATGGGGAAAAATACAAATAAAGAGAATGATAAAGAAGAGATTGAAGAGGAAATGGGACAGATTTCTTATTACAGAGAAATGGCCCAAGGAAATAAGGGCAAGGGGTGAGGGCGAGTAGGAGGGGAGATAAGTAGAATAAAGATAAGCTGTGATCAGAAATTTAATAACCTCAATTAATGTAAACATCTTATGCTATAATATGAGCAATAATTAATAATATCAACAAAAATTTAAAAAAGGATAGGAGAACTGGAGGAGGAAGAAGGGGGAGGAAAGGAGAAGGGAATAAAACAAAGAAACAATTTATGTACTATGCACATGGAACCACTTTCCAAGACAATTGTAAACCCCACAAACTACAAACATAATAACAAAATTTAAAAAAAAGTGAAGGCTTCAAAAAAGACAATCTAAAATGTGTTTGCATAGCAAATTTTATGTATTTTTTACTCAGACATACTTAGAAATAAAAATATTTTAGTTCAAGACAAAAGTAAATCATATTATTGGTTATTTAAGATGAAGTCAAGTAAATAGATGATTTACCTTTTATCATGTTACTCTATTCTATCTGGTAGTCTTTTATTAGTGAGCTATTTTAGTAATCACTTTCCCACAGGGAGACATTTTTAAATGATTGCATAGTAATATTCATTATTGTTTTTATTTTTCTTTAGTCTGTTTGTGGTAATTATACATATACGTACATATATAAATATATATGTTATGCCATAATTTTTAGAATTTAATTTTACTGTATTTTAAAATTATGGCACTCAGCAGGTATTGTCTAGAATATTTTTATGGATAAATAAAAGCATCATCTGCTTTCTTGTCAATTTCATACTGTCTATGCACAAGGAAGTACTATAGGCCTTGTAAAGTCACCTCAGGAAAAGATTCCATTTTAGCCCAGAATACTTCTGCTTCCCCCCATTTTGAACTTATCTAGAGAATTCGGTCATAGCATTCTCTTCCATTGATGTGCAGATAATAAAATACACATATGACTATACCACATATATAATACATACGATATAAAGTATGTTAATATAGGCCCAGGCATATCATACTGCATATCTTCCAATTTCCCTTATGTGGCCTAGAATTGTAGAACTTTTTAATAGATTTTCCTATAAATTTTACAGTAGGTCAAGTCTATATGATTTCCTTAGTTTCATTATATAAATTTGATTGGCCTCTCCACTACATTAAAAATGTACGTTGTGTCAATTTTTTAAGATGCTGAATATATCTGTCAACAAATATTTTACAACTATGAGAATTTTAGTTTTAAATATGTGTGACTATTAACAAAGACAATTTAATATAATTTGGTTTTGCTTAAATTAGATAATAAAGTTAATCATCTGAATAATTAGCAAATTACCAAAATAAACAAATTTGCTGAAAATTTTATATAGTAATTTGGAAGATTTTTTGTTACTATTGTTTTAGTATTATCTTTCTTTTGCTTTCATATGTTTTTCAAATAGTAGTATAGAAATATTACATTGCTTTAGCATAATTACACTTCCATATTTATTTTATAAAAATAGCATCTCTTTTATCCATCAAGACAGAAGCACATTTAAATTAGTCACAAATAAAACAGACTATGAGGAAAATATATATGATACTGTTTTCATAGACAAATGTTACATTAGCCCACTAATATAGCTTAGTCATTAAACTATTTTGTTTACTTTTGAAGTCACTTTTAATTTTAAAGCAGATAAAAATAAAAGTTTCTCTTCATCCTTTAAAATTTAAGTAACAAAATTATTTACTTACATTATATTCAGCTTTTTTCTTATATTGTTGTTAGCCTTCTAGTAAAATATTGTTAAAGCATAGTTACTTTTGAATATAGATTTTGCATAACTTTAATCTTAATTAACATATTTCTTCAAAATAAAAAATTATCAATTTGTCACCACTTACTTGGATATTGAAAATTAGTAATTCTTACAACTAAATCTGGAATAGTCCTCTTTTAGCAAAAAGTACCTATAATTTAATTGCAGTAAGTGATTTAGTGTAAAATATAAAATATTACTATATGTTCATAAGATTTAATATAAACATGAAGTTTATGTAATAGTTTGAAGAAACTGAAAAATACAATGATACCATCACTTTATTATATTGGCTTTTTGTAGTGATGGGCATCAAACTTGATGCTTTTAATGTAAAAAGTAATTAAAATAGTGTCAAGACCATGCTTCATTCTACAACGATAGATTGTTTCTTCAAAAACTTCCTAGGTACCCATATCCACAGTTAACCTCCTTTTAATACCAAAGTGGGACAACTTTTGTGTATTCATAATTTCTTTCCAAATATTTAACGTAACAGCCTTGAGAGAAACTGTTGGGGTATAATGGATGCCACTGTGCACGCCGATTCCTGGAGATAATGTTTTCTTGTTATTGCCTTGCTGAGCTTAGCTTTCCATTTATAGCCACTGGAAATGTAGACAACAAAGAGCAGCTCACCTGGACTAATCAATAAAGCAGAATGAGGAGACCAACTTTCAAGTCGGGAAAATGTGTCTTGTTTACCTGTAAGTCATTTTGTTAATACAAGTGAGTGAACTAAATGTGAGATGAACGCAGAGCTGACTATTCAGGTGAGGATGAATGAAGTCACTTGCTTTCCCTGCTTTTTTTTTTTTTTTTTTTTAAGGACATCTTTAAGCTTTTGAATTAACAAATAAAAATTATGTGTATTATGTATGACATGATATTTTAAAATATGTATTCATTGTAGGCTTGGATCAAGCTAATTAACATATACATTAACTCACATATTTAGCATTTTTGTGGTGAGAACATTTAAAATCCACTTAGTAATTTTCAAAATTACAACACATTGTTATTAACTATAACGACCATGTTGTAGAATACATCTGTAGGAACGTTTGTATATTTACATAGAACAACTTTATTCATTTTGTCCTCTTTCCCTTTTATTTCTACCTGCTCCCTCCGACTCTTCTTCTCCTTCCCATTTTCAAATGCTCTATTTGCATTTTTTCTTCAACCCTGTTTTTAATGACATTATAGTTATTTTATAGGTATGTGGAATCATGAGAATTAAAACCAAATTGGTTTCAATTCACAGCTCTGTAATTATTAGCTATGGGATAGTACTATTCTGATTTTAATTTTCCTCATTACAAAAATAGCACACATTTGTGGGTATTGCAAATCAGATGGTGTACACAAAATCACCTAATGTCAAACACACTGAGCTCACTGCTTTTCTCAACATTTTCCTTCATTAGTACTTCCCAGATGATACTGAAGATGTACTGAAATGTGCCTATCTAAGTTGTTCACCGGAAGTTTTTATATTTTTCTACATACTCCACTTCACTCTCATATATCTGATTTAATATTTGAATGGATTTCTAATTATTCTCTGTAGAGTATGATCATTTCTTCTGGAATACATGTACACACTTGCCGATAAACAAAAAAAATGTCATTCAGTTTGCCTAGTGTATGTGTATGGCAGATGGCATTGTTGGTTTCATTTATCCATACCAAAAAAAAAAAATGCATTTGAATTCACACAGTAAATAAATGGTGTAGTCCAAATTTGAAGGAAAACACATTTTTCTGATTTCAGATATAAATACAGAATAATATAGAACTAAAAATAATCTTACAGTTGTTTTAGAAGAAGGATGTGTGAAAAGAATACAACCATCCTGCCAAAAAATGTCTACTTCTTTTGACTTAACATACTATTGCTTCAAATTATGCTTTCACTTACCCGTCACAATCACCTATCACCTTTTATCTCAGTGTGAACCACACAAATGTGTCCGGACCAGGAAAGGTATATCTAATATTAATGCTTTTAAGAGCTAGAGTTTCATATAATCTGTTGTGTGTGTGTGTGTGTGAGTGTGTGTGTGTGTGTTTCACTGAGAATTCCCATTGCCTCGATCATGTCTTTTCAGTCTGTGTCTGCTATGAAAATCAAGCTAATGCTCTTCTCATTAAACATATTATTGCCATACTATAAATATTCTATGTACAAAGTATACAAATCAGACTGGAATAATGAACTTAGAATGAAAATCTGCTCACCACTTTCCGTTTCACTTCCCAGAAATAATTACTATTATTCTTTTAGTTTATAGTGATTAGAGCCACTCCTGTCTGATGTAATGCATCTCTCTCAGTAACAAAGAATTAAGCTTAAAATGTATTAAGTACTCTGTAGACAACTTTCACTTGTTTTAAATTGCCACGTCCAATGAGAGTGCTTAATTTTTAATTGGAATTTTTCAAATGAGCTATTTCAAAGAAGAACAGAAATATCTGTTTCTGTGCCTATGTCTGTTTCTCTCTGTATCTCTGCCTCACTTCTCTTCTTGTTTTTGTCTTTTGTCTTTTTATTTCTGTATCTTATCTGTATCTCTCTCTGCCCTCCAGCATTTCTGATGATAGGAAGAACTGTTCTGATACACAACGCTTTGAAGAATGATGTTAGAGAAACACAGGACAAGGCCAATAGCAACGCCTCAACAATTAGTGCCAAAATATGCAAGAAAAATGCAACCAGAAAGACAAAGTTTTGGATGACAAAGTAAAATTAATGACCAGAATTTAGAAAAATGATCAGAATCTAATCTCTCTTTTTAAAATTATTGACTAATGATTTTTTATTTAACAATATATTCATCAATTCAAATTTTAAATGTGGAGTACTGTCCTTTCCCCCTTTTTTATTCTGCTGATATGGAACAGACTTGAAGAGAAAATAGGGGTAGGAGTTTTCTGAGCAACATAGCTAGGTGACAGTAACAAAAATTAGCCAGTTTCCCACTGAACTTAGTTTCATGTATGTAGTGGCATTTTCCTTCTTTCTTTATCTCTTTCTCTTTATCTCACCCTTTCTTTACCACTCTCTTCCTTCCTTTTTTTTTCTTTTTTCTTCTTTTGTGTCAATAGAGTAGACTACAAAACTTAGTCAATACAAATAGCTAGAATAAACCACAGATACTACCAGCAATTTTTCATCTTCCATGAAGAACTAAAGGATCCTGTGGGGTAGGATGATAACTTTTTTATGTTAGCATTTTCATTAAAGAATTTCAATTTTTAAATTCCCTTTCGGTTTCTTTCAACAATAAAATTTACCAAAAAAAAAAAAAGGTAAAATGTAAGTTGTCTGCTATTTGGATGAGAACTTTGATAAGTCATCATTTCTCTGTATTTTGATTTTCCATTATATAAGAAGTCTTACTGTGTCCATACATTATTTATCAGCCACTAAAATATTGGAATTACCTCTTGGCTGGTATAATGGAATTTTAATTTTTTGTTATTGTCTGGTTGACCTATTTTTGCTCTTGATTACTTTGCTGATTTCTATAATTCCATGTAGTTATATTATATTATTAATTATATTATCCAATTGATGGAAAAATTACTGGACATCTTAGATTTTTCTTAAGTATTCTTCTTATTTATTGTGATAACATATCTTATGTCAAATTGTGCTAACACTCATAATGAGTCAATTCCAGAACTAAGAAAGAAACATAATCACCTGTCAGATGTATATAACATAATTACTACACTAAGTTGGTGAAAAATTATTTAAAATGCATTTTCAAGATTGCCATGTCATGGAAATATTTTGAATTAATATATAGCTTCAAAATTTTTCCAGTGACTGAGAAGTTTATTAACTGCCTGGCCACATTATAAACTGAAAAGGAAAGTTATTCAACACTTGAAGAAAGTTACATCAAAGTATGACATGCATGAATCATTTCCTTACACTATGACTTGGAAAATAGCCTGTAGTTAAAGGCACACTCAAATCTATTTTTAAAATCATAAATTGCTTTTACAGCTTCTTACACCATTTAGCAGGGATCTGACCAGGATAAATGTAGGTGATTTTCTGGGAACTAACACATTGTTCTTTAAGCACATTACAGACTCTTTTTTCATTAAATGAAGTAATATTGACAGTTGCATCTCTTAGTATATATATATAATTTATGTAAGACATTTTAATCGCATGACATAATTTAATAAGTATTTTATTTTTAAGTCATCTGTATGCAAAACATTTCCCTAGGTAGTAGCTGTGATAGAATAATGGATAAAATATTACCTTGACCTCCAAGGAAGGGAGTTAGAGTCTTCCAGGAGATAAACACACATAAGTGACTACAATATAACAGTTTGTGATAAATAGTGCAATAGACTCCAGTATAGAAAATGATTTTTCTGCTAAAACACAGAGCCAGCAAGGAAGGAAAATGTATTTCATCCTGACATGAGACCCAAATTGTACCCGAGAACACCACCAACAACAACAAAAAAACAAAACAAAACTGCAGAGTCTGAATCTAGAAATGCAACTCAGGGAATATGTAAGTATGAAGTAATAGTGAGCATTCTGCTGAATGTAAGTAACAGAAAGTAAGTAGAGTTAGCCCAAATTTTAAAAAGACAGTGCTACAACACACTGAAGCATCTCTCTGAATTCAACAACAGGAATCTTGCTTAGTCTCAAAACAAATATAGAGTCAGGGATTCACTTGTCAATGATCTTCTCAGACAGTATGGTCTCTAAATTTTAAAAAGATGCTCATTAATTTTATTATCTTTTTTTAAAAAATGGACTTTCCTCATGTTTCATGGACCAAAATTGTATACTAATATTTTCTTATTTTTATGTATTAGGATTTTTAGATATTATGAAAAATAGTTTGTTTTTTCTATTTTTTTTCTAACCTTTTTCTGGAAAGAATTACTCAACATAATTTGACAATTCTGTAAAGTGGAATTGGGCATCCTATTTTGCTTCAACAATAATAAGGTAACAGCTACAACCAAAGAGGTGGAAAAAGGATTGCTGTTTATAGAATGTGAGTACTTTGGGAATCCTTCAGGTATATACTGCAAGATGTGTAAATCCAGGCAATGAATCTTAAAATGGGTAGCACTTTGGTTTCTAACTGATTTGTTACCCCAAAGTATGTTATTCCTGTTGAAGTCCATAATTCTGTTAATATCAATAACTAAGAGTTTTCACTAGAATATGGAACTAAGGCTAATCTGCAAGCTCTGGAAGAATTCAAGGATGACTATAGTGTTTTTGATATGCAGAACTCAGGAGAGATAGTACTAATTTCAGAGTAAGGAACCCTGGTAAATTAATAAACCTGATTGGGAAGAGGCACTTCTCCCACTGGGGTCTGGCTAAATTTTTGACAAGTAAATATCTAGAGATCAAAAAGGCAATTAATAGATTTTGGGGGACTAGAAAGCAAGTCAAATACTTGGAGTTTGAGGGAAGACAGAATAAGCTTTCCATTTAATAGGAGTGAAGACCAAGGTTATAAGTATAGATGCTAACTGGCTTTGAGATTTAGAGGTAAGAATTTGAGTTTCTCCTCAAACACTTTAATTTTTCAAAGTAACTTGACCTGAGAACTTTACCTAAGAAGAAAGTATTATAGTGGTTGGATATTGTGGCATAAATAAAAAATAAAAAATAGTCTGGAGTAAAATATGATTATACTAGTGAGATATATTAGGTTTTTAAGTAGTATCAAGTTCCTTTTTGAGGTCTATGGTCATGAATTTTAAGTGAAAAGAATAGGAAAGAAAATCACAATTTGTCCTTGGTTTGATTCTGCTCTGTCAGAAAGTATTTTATAATTATTAGGTATTTTATGAAACCATAAGAAAGAGTGAGATAAAATATCCCCAGATGAGAATGTACACAAGGATGATGAGTTAACTTACTCATTAAATGTGCAAATTCCTATACTAAATGTTTCATACTAAAGTGGAAAAATTGCAATTTCTGATGACAGATAATGTTTACTATTTTATGGTCATCACAAACCTCGTGGCTAAAGGTTATATTTACAGGCTGTTAAAAATGAACTTACATTTAAAGTTCTGCTTTGGAAATCTGAATTATAAACTTTAATTTCTCTGATTTAAATATGGAAATGCAAGTTGCAGTTCCATTAGATGAGAAGCCTTAAGAGGACAATAATCCTGTTGGCATAATTATTTTTGTGCTTCTATAAAATTGTTCTTCTTAGCATATTAAGGAAAAAAGGTTAGAAAATACTATTTCAGTAATACTAGAAATAAAGTGAATTTTAGGGTGAGTTTAAATCCTTTTTTAAAATATGAAATATTTTCTCTCTCTCTCTCTCTCTCTCTCTCTCTCTCTCTCAATTTTTTTTTGTACTAGGAATCAAACTTAAGACTTGACACTTGCTGGGCAGGCACAGTGCCACTGAGCTAAATCCCTGGCCCTGAGAAATGTGCTCTTTATTGTACTGTACTAAAACAACTGGGTTAGAGTGGAAACAAGTTTCTTAGACATTTTTCTTCCACCATCAGTCTAAATTAGAAATGGACAGATGGATTTGAGTGAGATTTAGAAGGCAAAAGTGAAGCAATGGCCATTTTTCTCTGAAAGATACCATGTTCAGATTTGGTGACAGTTATAAAGGTAAATCCTGTCATTTTCTATTCTGCCGTTAGCCTGCACTTCTAACTGATGGCCCTGGTGATCAATAATGACTTTAAGTGATCAAGCATTTGACTGTGAAGCTACAGATGTATAAACTTCACTACAGTCCTTACCCGGACCTTTTTGAAAAGATCCTTTTTGAAAAGATGGACATGAGTAATTTTCTTATTGTCTCCCCAAATCTATGTTTTTACCTGTTAGTACTTCAAGCAAACTTTTTAGTGGCTTTGGCTAACGTCTTGTGACTTCTGCCTTCTAAATCACTTTCTCAGCATCCTCAGTTTTTGTAAATTTCGATATTGAATTTATTACTTCCAAAGCGCTCCTTCATCATGGCTCTGATTTTCTCAAACCAACACATTGTTTCTGGTTACAGTGCTATGTCAAATTTAAGTTATAATTTTTGTTATGAACTAGTGATAATTTGGAATATTAATGTAAGCCTAAAATTGCTTATGTAAAGAAAATAAGTTTTGGAGTTGGGGGCAATGGCCCGTACCATAAGCCAGGATTTTGGTATTTTGAGGGTTCTGGAATTAAAGTAGCATCTCAATGAACGGCACCTGCAGTAGACTTATTTATGTATTTTCCATTACATAGAGATTAAACAATGACTGTATATACTTCAGAACCAGATTGATAAAGTACAATGAGGTAGTTGATACTATCATTGGAACAATGAAGAATAAACAAGTTAAAAACCTAAAATGTACTCCAATAAACTTAATAAAGATCTTTAAAAGGTGCCTTTTATATCTTGTCTTTGAATTTGTTAGTACAGTCCATTTTTAAGAGGGGCTTTAGTCTTGCCTACCAAAAAACAAATAATGGAAAAAAACAAGCAAAAATACAAGGAAGCAAGACACTATAGACGAAAGTATACAAGAGAGGTTTTAGAGGTAAATCAGGTTTTAAATAATGGATGAAATAGGCTATGTTTTAGGGAATACATTTCCTTTCCCACTTAGTTGAGAAAAAGAGCTCAACCTTAACAAGGAAAAAATAGAAATTTCAGAAAGTTAATGGGAGTTAACTGGGTTTAGCCAAAATATGCAGTTATTGAGAGATGCTCTCTAAAATCTTCTAATACAAAGTCAATACCATGCCTTCTTTTAGTCCATATTTAATGGTATAACAGAATTTGGGAGATGTGGTGATTTATAAAGAAAAATGCATTTCTCATACGCTTGGAAACTAAGAAGTCCAAGGTCGAGGGCCACGCATTTGGCAAGGCTGCTCCTACTCCACCCTGCAGGAGGCAGAAGGGCCAAGAGAATGTGTACACGAGCGAGCAGAACTTGCTTTCAAAACCAACCTATTTGTATATTACCAATTTCACTCCCAGAACGACATTAATCCATAAGTAAAGGCAGAGCTCTCAAAACCAAGTCAACTCTTCAAGGTTGTGTGTCTCAACATTGTTTCCTGAGAAATTTATTAAACTCATGACCTTCACGGTGCACATTCAAATCAGCCCTGTACAACTGAGTGATCTATAATTGATAACTAGTGATAGCTAAAATAGATAACTAGTGATATCTACAATATTGTTTTAAATTTGTACATATTCTAATGGATACAAAGGAAAATGAGTCTATTGGTACATTTTAGGTATGCAGTACAACTACATTCATCATTGGGATCTTGTACCTTTACATGACAGGTCTTGGTTCTCATTTTTTTCCCTTGTCCATGCCCTCCCTTCACGCCCTCCTTCCCTCCCCATTTACAAACGCTTTGTTTCCATTTTTTAAAATTTTCTCACATTATTTTCTTTTCCCTTATTACCTTTCTCCTACCCTTCCCATTTTCACTACACCTTTAGCCCTTTTCTTCCTATTTCACATGGTCAATTATCTCATTAGGATCTTATGTACTATTATAGTTTTTCACACCAGAGAAACTATTTGGTATTTATACATGTGTGACTTATTTATTTCACTTAGGAGTATATCCTCAATATGTGTCCATTTTCCTGTGAATGACTAATTTCTCCTTCTTTATGGCTGAGTAGTATTCCATTTTATAGAAAAGCCACATCTGCTTTATCCGGTTTCCAACTGATGGGCAGATGGGCTGTTTCCAAGTTTTAGCTATTACAAACTGTGGCACTATAAACATTGGTGCTCATATACCACTGTGGTATGACTCCTTTAATTATTTTGGAAAGATACCCAGCAGAGGGATGGCTGGGTCAAATGGAACCTCTAGTCCCACCTCCTTGAGGTCTCTCCATATTGATTTCCATAGTGGTTGCACCAGTTTGCACTCCCACCAACAATGGAGAAGGGTTTCTTTCTCCCCACAACCCCACCAACATTTGTTATTGTGTGATTTCTTGATAGCAGCCAATCTTTGTGGGGTGAGATGGAATCTCAGTGTTGTTTTCATCTGCATCTCTCAAATGACCAGTGATGTGGAACATTTTTTCATATATTTACTTGGTGCTTTAATTTCTTTGTCTGAGAAGTGTCTGTTCATTTCAGATACCCATTTTTGAATTGGGTCTTTTATATTTTTTGGGGGGGGCTAATTGTTTTGAGTTCTTTATATATTCTATATAGTACTCCTTTGTCTGTGGAGCAGCTGGTAAAATTTTTTTACCACATTGTAGGTTGTCTCTTAGTTCTGTTGATGGTTTCCTTTGCAGTGCAGAAGCTTTTTAATAAGATGAGATCCCAGTTGTTGATTCTTTCTGCTAGTTCTTGTGCTACTGAGGATTTGTTCCTAAAGTCTTCCTATGCCAATATCTTCAAGAGTTCTGCCTAACTTATCTTTCAGCAAGCTTAGTGTTTCTGTTTTAATATTTAGATCTTTAATCCACTTGGATTTTAATTAGTGCATGGTGAAATATAAGTGTCTAGT